TTGGGTAGTTCAAGGCAGCCCCATGAAGTTTTTCATTGAAATATGTTATGGAGGAAGCAAATTGAAAACAATGTGGTAATTTAAGTTGAAAGTGATAAGAATAAATGAAAATAGAAAACATTTTCTTTAAACAAATATTAAAATTTCTACCGATTGTTACTAACTATACTTTCCTGAAAAATTCCAAAGTTAATTTGTAATATATATTTTGGGCCTAATAACAACAAATAAAATGATTGTCCTTTAGGATTTAGGATTAATTAAAAAAATTGATTATAAAAATAACAGTAACTGTTATTGAATTCACATTTAATGATAATTAATCATAAATGCAAATTTTATAAATAGACATCTAAAAATAATTATTTAATCATAATTAATTATTTTTTATTAGATATAATATGTCGCACATTTATTTTTAATTAATTTTATCAACAATAGTTAATCGCACATAATTATATTATTCTATACAATTGTCCAAAGATATATATCAACTTAATTATATTTAATTAAAAATTTGATTTCAAATAGTTAAATTATACCATTATACTATTTAACCTAAAGTTACAGATAAGTAACTAAGGATGAATTAGAGGGAAGATGAGTTAGGTTTAAATTTAAAATGAAAGATGTGTTAGTTTTCTACTCTCGCTCTCACTTTTATTTTATGCTCTAAAGAATCAAAAGGAAAGAAGATAGGAGAATATCATCCCAGAGATCTACATTCTTTGCTGTTTGCTGACAGAGGTAAATGGAGTGAGAATTTTCGCTCAAGGGCATGAGATAATTGATGGGTAGTGAGGTTGACCCCTAATCTTTATATGTTGTATACATTGTATGAAGGGGAGAATTCCAATTGTTTTTTGTCCTTGTTGATTGTCTTCCACATGATTCTATTACTCCTAAATTTGTTATAATTAATTTCATGCATTAAGTCCTTTAAGTAATAAGAATTGAGTTGTCTATGAGTTCTTGTAAAGACCCTAAGGGCATGCATAGAATGGTAATTGTGTGAGTGATTAATAAAGTTGTGTGATTGTATGAGATTTGTGCCTTATGGATGTGTTGTATGAATAAATTTGGGTGTTTTACTGATTAAATCATTATATGTAAGTTATGGTTCACAAATCATATGTTTCGAAGATCTTCAAGTTTTGGATGTTCTAATATGGTGCCAAATGCCACTTGCATCTCGCTAGGCATTGTGGTGTTCGAGAATATGATTCATTCCCTATTCTATCTATGTCGGGTGTGGGACATGCCTCGTTAGGCATCGTTGAGGCCACAAATCTTTGTGATTTTTGTGCTAGGTGTGGGTCAAGGCTCGTCGAGGCATGAGGCTGGCAACTACTATCTCGTAGGACGTGACATAGGTCACATCGGGCGTGAGCCATCCTGAGAGCTATGAGTGCTTTTTGGATAAGCTACGTCAGATGTGGATGGATTTTCATCGGGCACTAACTGTATATGAGATTTGTTTAGATACATGAGCTGAAGAAGTTGTCGAGTAAATGAGATACTTGATTCTTATTGGTAAATGGTGTATATGGTAAAGTGTATGTATCATTAATAATAATTAAGAGCATGGCCAATCGTATGCGTGGAAAATCATTTGATTGGTAAATCATTGACATATGTGTATTATAATGATTTCATGTTATGAAAGAGTACGTGTGACATGCATCATATGCACATAAATCGGCAAATCAACAAATTGGAAAATTGTTTCATATGCACTATGCACATATTGAGATTGGTACCACATGCATGCAAATCGAGAGTTTGTGCCCATTGCATTCCATATTTGCATGAAACTAAATGACTTATGATTGTTATGTTGTTAATAAGTGATTGTGTTGGTAGTAATGATTGAATGATTGTGATAGTTAATTGTTATTATCATGCTATTGTATAAATAATGTATGGAGTGTGTTTGGCTATTTGTTTCTTATTCCATATCATGAGCTAAAGTTAGAAGTTTTCTCACTCCCTTTTGTTTCCATGTCTTAGTTATATGTGTGTTGTTGTAAGTAATGTTCATCAGGATCTTGATGATGCTGGTGACGCGGCATAATCCTTGTCTTGGGAGTACTCTGATAGCATATGTGACATTGGGGCTTAGATTAAAGATATTCTTATTTAATTTCTAAGTACAAGTGATGGAAAACTCTTGGAGAATCCGAATGGCTTTGGCTTCTCCTTCAAGTTCCTCCCTAGACCTTTGGCTTCTTGGCGCTTCTTAAGCTTCTTCAAGACCTCTAATGGAGGTAGAGACCTCTGGTTTCCCCTTAGAAGATGAGGAACTCTCTTCAAGTGGTGCCACTCCTAAAAGGAAGATAAATCACTTCAACTCTCACCACACTCTTTTAGGAACAAGGTAAAAGAATTGGAACTAAATCAAAAAGATTTCAAGACTTTAGGGAGAGAGAGTCCAGAGATACAACTCGGCAATTCTCATATATAACATCCAAAAGTGTTTAAAAAATGAAAAAATTACAATATATAGAGTGTAGTTGGCTTATGGTGCAAGTTAGGCTAACCATGGTCAAGTGTAGCCATGGTTAGCTATCTTGTACTTAAGCTAACCAAATCTAGTTACCTTTCTAGAAACTTATGGAGCAAGTTAAGCTAATCCTAGTTTAGAAATAACCTAGGATAGCTTAAATTAACTCCATCTACCTAATTTAATGATTACTTTTAACTAGTTTATTGAGATGTCACTTTCAAGACCATGTCTTATTTTAACAAACTTGGATGGCTTCCTCACCAAGCTTAGACGTCCAAACCACTTGCTTAGGCAAGTGGACGTCCAACCTTGGTGGATTTAAAATGTGTTTATCATGAAGAGAAGGCCTAGTTCTACTTGTGTATATTGTAGAATTTATACATAGTCTCTTGTATAGGTTATTTTTGCCTTTGTATTTGTGAGGCACTTTACTTGCTTTTTCTAGTGTTTGTATATTGATTTTAAGGTAGGTTACTTGGAGATTTTATCTCCATTTAACCTCCCTAGTTGATACATTCATTTTGTATTTTTTCAGTAGGGAAAAAGGGGTGGCATTTAGCAAAGCTAGGGAGTGTGTTTAGAAATTGGGCCTGAGTTGGGACTAGGCAAAATTTTGCATATTGGACTCATTTTGCTCCTAATTTTTCATAGATTTGATTTAGCTAGGTCCCATCTTCATATGATGAACCTAACTAAACCAAATTAAGAATTTTCAAATTAAATCATGGAGCAATTTGAACCAAAAGCCGCCTAGCTCATCTTCTTCCTCCTTGGCCGAATTTCTAAGCTACACCTCTAGGTTTTTGAAGCTTGCCTTGCAAGCTTCTAAACCTTAGTAGGTTAAGCTTACCTTACCATGGTTCTTAAGTGAACCATGGTCAAGGTTAGCTTCTCCTACAAGCTTGCTAAACCGTGGGAAGTTAAGCTTACCTTACCATGGTTCCTAGTGAACCATGGTTAAGGTTAGCTACTCCTAGAAGCTACCTCTCCCTATATATTTGTAATTACCTCTCATGTACTCACTTTTGAACATTTTGAGAATAGAAATCAGATTTTCTCTCTCACTCAAGAGTCTCCAAAATCGTAGGGAATTTCTCTCTTAGGTTTCTCACAAAAGGTTTTCAGCCTTTGCTTGGTTCCTCAAGCTTCCTATGCAAGCTAAGGAACACCGAACCTCTTCAAGGCTTCTACTCCATTGAAGAACACTTCGTGGAGCTTCAAAGCATCATTGAAGGATTAACTCAAGAACATTCACGGTCCTAAGCATGGAATTATTAAAGAACTTCAATCCTCTTCAACCTAGTCCCATCAGCCAGCCACGTGGTATATCTGACCTCACGGATGAAGCCCGCATTTAGTAGCTTTTGCGTCTCGGTAATGATGGCCTCCGCCTTTCACCACCGACCTTCCTCTTCCTCTAGGCGTCTGGCTTTGCCTCTTTGTGAATTGCCAACCTGTGACAGATGAAGTTAGCATCTATACCTGGCATGTCGGCACTGGACCATGCGAAGAGGTTGGCATTTTTGGAGATTTCAGCTTCGAGCTGTTGTCGTAACTCCGGGTTCAACTACCTGCTGATTTTCGTGCACTGCCCAGGAAGCTTCCCGATCTGGAGGTCATCGAGCTCATCGATGGGGCTCGGTCATTCATCATGGGAGTCAGACCTCGGATCGAGGTCAGTGATATCCACGTGTGTGATGTGGGCCACTGTGGGGGGATCACTCTTGCAACGCTCGTCGGATGAAGAGACTTCCAGACTTTCGGCGTAGCACTATCGAGATGTCTTATGGTTTGCCTTGACAGAAATGATCTTCCCATCACTCCCTGGGAATTTCATGGTGAGGTGCGGGGTAGACTCCACGGCCCCGAGTTGGTTCAACGTCGACCTTCCAATGATTATGTTGTAAGACGTGTTGGCTTCCACGAGGAGGTATCGGACCATAATTCTTCTTGTGTCGAGAGAGGTTCCGAAGGTTATCAGCCGGTCCACATACCCTCGAGTGTGTACTCGCTCTCCTGCAAAACCGACTAGAGGTTCTGTGTGAGGGTGGATAAGGGAGTGAGGGATGTCTAACCTGAGGAACGTCGGCCAGTATAAGACGTCAACCGAGCTCCCTTGGTCAATCAACGTCTTGTGGACCTCCCAATTGGCGACCTCCACGGCGATGACCATTGGATCATCCTGGTTGGGGCAAACGCCATTGTAGTCATCGTCGGTGAAGGTGATCGGTGGTGCACTCTGGTGCGAGGTCGAGGTGGTGGAGTGGACATTGTTGATGCTGCGCAAATGTTGTTTCCACACTGAGCTGCTAGAGCCTCCCCCTGCGAAGCCACCTGCAATTGTGTTGATGACGCCCCGCAAGGGGGCCGACCCTGTTTCCTGACTTACCTCGGCCTGTACTGCGCCACCATTATTTTGTTGGGATGCGGAGGGTTGGTCTGCCCAGGTGCCTGCTCCGCGACCTCACCCTCGTCCTCGCCCGTTGTAGCCTCCTCAGTGACCCTGCTGCCGCTGTACGTATTGTCCGAGGTGGCCCGCCTGGATGAGCTCCTCAATACGATCCCGAAGTGTACGACATTTCTCGGTGGTGTGATCGTGGTTTCTGTGGTACCGGCAATGCTTTGTCCTGTCGGCGTTGTTGGGATTGTGCCCGGGTAGAGGTAAAGTGAGCACGTTGTTGTTGCTAGCTTCCTCCAGGATGTGTACTCGGGTTGTACTCAGGGGGGTGTAAAAGTCATATCTCCCCCCTTTGTTTGCCTTGGTAGACTTCTTGAACTGGCTGTCATTGTTGACCTTCATCTTGTCCCTGTGACCATTGTCTGGCTTTGCCTGTGACTTGCCACGGACCTGATCACGAAAAGTGGAATGCTCTTCCATCTGGATGTACCCGGCGGCACGGGCACGGAATTCGTCCATGTCACGAGGAGCCTCACGACACAGGCTGTCTATGAAGGGTCCGGGCTTGAGAGCGATGAGCATGGCGTGCAGGGCGACTTCGGGATTCAAATTTTGGATCTTGACCGAGATGCCGGCGAAGCGCTCCATGAATGTCCTCAATGACTCATCGTCGCCCTGCCTGAGACTGGCCAAAGCGGCCGATGTGACATGGTGACGCCGACTCGTGGCATACTGAGCCATAAATTGCTTGACCAAAGTGTGGAAGTTATCGATCGACTCAGCTGGTAATTGGGTGTACCAATTGAGTGCGGCCCTTTTGAGCGAGGTCGAAAAAACCCTACACAGAATAGCATCATCGTTAGTGTAAAGGTTGACCTGTGTAGTGTATAGATAGATGTGCTCGTCCGGATCCGTCGTGTCGTCGTAGCGGCCGAGGTGGAGAGGCTTCCAACCAAAGGAGAGAGGCATTTCCATGATACCATCCACGAAAGGATGGCGATGAAAGGTCATCCGGTTCCCAGGAACCTGGGCAGGGGCAATGCTGATTTCATGGGCCGACCTGTTCGTCGGTGCGTGTGACCGATGTGTGGCAGGCCTGGGAGTCGGTGCCCTAGGTGCTGTGTGCAGTTGAGAGACCGAGTGCCCCTCTTCCTCGTGTTGGTTACTCGGTTGAGGAGGCTGATCAGAGGGGCACTGAGGCAGTTGAGCGCGAATACGCTCATTCTCAGCGCGCAGCGCCACTAGGTCAGCTTCGTTAGCGGTACGCAATGCCGCTAGGTCAATTTCGTGCTTGGCACGCATGTTTTGTAGATCGGCAGTGTGTTGCTGTCGCATCTGCTCGACCTGTTCAATCAGTCTCCTCAATGCTGCTTCGTTGTCCATGGTAGTTGTGTGATCTACGTCGTCTGTCGCGCGTCTGCTATGGCTTCGGGTGAAAACCATAAGCGTGGCCGATAAGAGCTGTCTTGATCGGCCCCACAGTGGGCGCCAAATGTTCTTACCAGAGATCGGTTGTAGGGACGATCTGCTGGGCAAGATTGGTGAGCCTCCTTCACTGGTACGTTTGATGCTCCAAGATGGGGGTGGTACCTGCAAAAGAGACTGCGATGCTAAAGTTAGTGTATGTGGGAATAAGTCTCGTATAAGTAATGCACGTACCTTTGTGTGGATTAGGGTTTTGTTGGGCCTTGGGCCTGAGATCAGTTATGATCCATTTAAGTAGCGGACCTCGTCTTGGCTGAGGTCGTCCAGCGCGTGTCCGAGGTCATCCTGCGTTGTGATGCCGAGCTGGAGCTTAACTTCGTGGTACGAATAGTACAATATATATATACTTACTTGTATAGTTAACAATCTACTTATTTATTTAAGTCAAATTGAAATATATTAACTTTAAACAATTAATTAATAATTCCTATGTAGATAAAGTTGAGACATGCATATGTAAAATGAACAAAAATTTGAGTAGAGATAAAGTGTTTCATTATTAAATTAAAAAAATCCATGATATAATTAAAAAAAAAAAGAGGAGTGAAGCTAAAGTAGAAGAGTGTCATAATTAAAATAGGAGTGATCGAGTTGCGAGTGTTTGAGCGATTAGATAGAGGAGGAATGAAGTTTTGTTGTAGCTCGGGGCGAGGTGAGGTGGCAGCAGAAAGCGTGGAGCCCACCCTAGCTAACCCTATGCTTTTAGGGTTTCACAATGCACATGCATAACTCTTCCTTTGCCCTATGCAATCATGTCGCTCTGTCCTCTCTCGCCTCTTCTCTTCTGCACTTCATTTTTGCCCATTCTTCTTCTCACAGGATACATGCCACGCTAACTCTTTCACTCTCTTTCTTTGCAAACCAACACACACCTCAAACTTACCAAATAAATAAATAAAATCTCATATTCACTGAATCGCACTCCTATATTCTGATGCTTTGTGGGTTAACTAACAACCCTTCTTTTAAACTTCTCACTAGCCTTCTGCAAATTTTTGCACTAATTCTACACCGTCTTCCAATCTTTCAATTATAAAGTAACACTTGCTGTGAGTTGTTCATCTTTATAATTAATAAGTAAAAAATTATTAATGGGGTAGAATTATGTTTTTTCTTTATTTTATATTTTAGATTTATATTAGTGTTTTATATATATGTTAAAATATTCATTTCAATTCTTTATTTTATATATTCGAATTGGTTTGATCTTTTTAAAATAATAATAATTTTTAATTTTGTGATATGGCTTTAAATTAATTTTTAACTAATTTAAGACATAAAAATTATAATGTTAAATTTATTTATATAAAAATTATGAAATTTAATTGACATTGTATTAAAAAGGTTATAAAGATAATGAAATTGTGTAAAAATATACTTACAAGATACTAGAAAATTATATGAAATTATATTTTTACAATTTTTTTTAAACTTATTTTTATGTAATTTTTACTATATTTATTATATTTTTTGTTTGAACTTCATTTATACTTAAGAGTTTTCATATAAATAAGTATAATGAGATAAGTTTCAAGTCTAGAATCAATCAAAAAAATATTCAAAATCATATCTCAAAATAGAAAATAGCTATTGTTTCAACATGATTAATTTGACTCAAATTTAATAAATAAAAAGATTAAAATAGACATTTTAAAAAGTTAAAATAAATAAATAAATAAATAAATATAATAAATAATAAAAATATAATTTAATCTATTAATAATAATTTATGATTGATTGATAATATTAAATTATTTTATTCTCAAGTGCATTATTATTAAACTCATTACTTCTCAATTCAAATAATTAAGAGTGGTAAATGGAATGTTTATAGAAGACATTAGTGTAATATTTTATAAACATTTTAGGGAATTATTGTAAGAATAAAGGAAGTAGAAAGTTTTTGTGCAATCTAATAAAATTGTGATGGTCAACTTTTTTTTTTAATTTACATAATTTCATTTATTTTATTTTTAAATTTTTATAGTGTAAAATAGATATTTTTAAATCTTTCAATCATTTTTAATTCCTATAGTTTAAAATAAATATTTTTAGTCTTTACATTTATAACTTTATTTTTTTTAGACACTTTTGATATTTTTTTATAACATTATCTATTTTGTGTTAAATTTACATGAACTTAAAAATAATATTTAAGTCAACATTTTTATTTACATTATTGACACTATTTATAATATCTAAATGTTATTTTAATCGATAAAAATTACAGCACATATATATCACTCCACTCCAACACGATCACAATAGTTGATTTAAATTATTCTTTAAAATAAATGTCTCACAAATAGATTCATTGTTTAAAATATGTTACGTCAAAGTTTAAGCTTTATTATTCGTGAAATTTAAAATAATTATTTTTTATTAATGGGAATAAAAGTGCAACTAATTTAGATTCACGATCAGGGTTTTAGATTTATTTTTATCTTATAATAAAGTTTGTGCATAAAGGTGATTCTGACATTGTGTCTTTTTAAGGCAAAATTGAAGATTTTGTTGTTCATTTCTTTCCAAATTAAGTTGACGTTTTGTTGTACCTTCTTTCCAATTTGGGGCGACAAAGAACTTTCACTTTCAGCATGAGGTCCACCACTGTTCTGATCTTTCTTTATTTTTCTATTATTTTTTTCTTTATTTATATTAACCAAATACATACAGTATTTGATTTTATCGAGGAGGAAAGTAAAAATCATAAAAAAGTTTATAAAGAAAGAAAAATAGAAAGGAAGATATAGTTATGTAATAAAAAAATACAAGAAAAAAATAAATTTAACTTTTTCTTATTTAATTGATTAAAATACTTATCAGCAAATGAAGAAACGTTCAAACACGAGATCTATGAGTGCCTCTTTGACATCTTGAGAACAAAATCAGTATCAATGAAACAAAATTTGTATTGGGCTTAAGAAAAAGAAGATACGTGATAAAATTATAAAGTAAAGCGTAACGAAGTAGAGGATTTGAGATTATATAATTCAAAAACCTAGATCAAAAGAAACAAAGAATACGAATGAGATCTGCAAATTCAAGATGAAAAAGAGCTTAATATAACCATGTGACTTCACTCTGTACATAGGGATGTGCAAAAAATCCTAATTGATCCGAACCGATCTATAACCGATCCGAACTAATCCATAACCGATCCGATTCGTATTGAAAAATCTAATTCATTTTATAAAAAATTCCGAACCGAACCACTTTATAAAACTGGTTCAGTTATCCGATCCATTTTTACAAAGTAGATCGGTTCGGTTTGGTTTAGTTTTTAAAAAAAACTGATCCACATATGAGTAAAAAGTATATAACTGCACCGCACCGAACCGATCCAATTTTAAAAAAACCGATCCATATTTTAAAAAAATCAAACCGATCCACTTTATAAAAATGGATCGGTTAACCGATCCACTTTTATAAAACGGTTCGGATCGGTTTAGATCAATTTTTTGAAAAAACCGATCCATGATATATATATATATAAAGCACTACATGTATATGCTACCTACAACCCAAATTGTTTAAAGGTAATATTCTAGCATTGCTAGGGTGTGGGGTTCAATCTTGGACCTAATCTTGTAGAATGCAAATTAAGTTTGAGAACTTAGAAGTGTTGGATATTGGTGATAGACTATAAAATTGTACAAATGCATGACCAAACCGAAAATGAAAGGAAAATAAAAAATCTTTAACTATGAATTGAACCCAATATCATTCAGCTACAAATCTATTTTGTAACTTGTTTCGATCATACATGTAATAAATGGAATAAAGCTAGTGAATGGACTCTTTTGAATTCAATCATTGTTATACTTTTTTAAAAGGCTATATAATTATGCCGCTTAATCATTTATATAAATAAAACTACATGAAAGAGTATTGCATAATAAATAAATAAAATTGATTGTAAACTTAATCTTATATTATATAGTTTGTATCAATTAGAATATTGGCCTAAAACTAATTTGATGGTTCTAATTTTACAAATTAAACTCATTCGATGTAAGTACTAGATAGAACACTACTCAAATATTATGATTTTAGTAACAAAAAACCTTCTCATTTTTGAACTTTTCCCAACGTGGAACTCTAAGTGTTAGTAACCATTGCAACTTTAGTCAAGGTGGTTATCAAAGTTTATCATATGGGATTCACAAATTTTCAAAACTAAAGATGAAATTAGATATAAACGGTAAAGCTCGACTACAAGTTATAGTTATAGTCTAACAGGTTCTTCGATCCTGAGAAATGAATGTCGACAGAAAACATAGATTTAACTTTCAATCATAAGGAAAAAATCAACTATTAAATGCTTATTAATCTAAAATATATCACTATCAAAAACTAATTAAATGTAGTATTACTATTATCCATCTTTTAAGGAATATCCATGGTGTCCTTGTTTTTACACTTAAATATACTACAAATCAAATTGAAGCATAACAAATAAAACTATAATCGTAAGATCAAGCTCGTCTATAAAAAGGAAAATCAAAATAAACACACCATAATAACCACACAAAACATCATTTAAAGAAAAATACTTAAAGTTGATTTAATAAGACAACATGTTAAAAAAACTGCATATTATTTTTAAGAAAAATACTTCATTCTCCGAAAACTTATTCTAAAACTTGATCCGAATTAATAAAAAATTGATTTAAACAATAAAATATTAAATTAAATAATTATTTTATAATAAATTTATTTTAAAATATTAATATTTTAATTATTCGAAGACGTTTCTTTCAGAATATATAGCAATGTTCTTATTTTAAATACTTCTTAAATATATGTCTTTCTCAAAAAAAAAGAAGATCTGATTCAACTTATTTTGG